GATGGAGACACGAAAGGTTAATTTGCATAAATGAATTTTAGAAATGGAATCCTATATTCTATAGAAGCAATTAAAGATGCACGCACTATTCAAACAATTTATTTTTCAGTGCAAATCATAAAATAATCACATACAGCCTTCAAGGCTTTGGTGCGATGCCGGATTCTGGTCATCCTAGAAAAATGAGAAACTAATATAAAATGCATTGTGCCATTGTCATTTCGAAAAAAACTGAACTAACATATTTGTTTTTTTCAAAACTAATATGATAGTGTATGAAGAGTAAGGTCCTCTAATGAATTTGGATGTCCCGATTTCTAATGACAAATTTTGATCCTCTAAAACAAGAAAATTACAAATTTTAACCATAAAATACAAATAGACTAGATAGTTTAATGAAACATAAGTTTTATGATTTTAAAGTACACAAACTAGAGAATCCGAGAAATATACCTTTTGGAGTCTTGATATACATAACGTCTAGAAAAATCAACCTAAAACTTATACTTAATTCTAAATTTTTGGGGGCCCTCTACAAGGCCTTTGTGTCAAGCACCTATTGCACCTCCTAAAAGACGGTCATGTGAAGAGTAGTTGGCATAATCTTACGGTTCTGGGCCGGATCGGCCAGTCCTGGATGGGGTAGAGAGAACTAGGATTGGTATATGTGACTGTGAATTTTGGTGGTTCGACCGGCCATTTCCGATCCAGGCCTAGTCTGGCCTCGGTCCAATATTTAATTTACGAATGAATGTATTTATTAGATTTACATGAATCTATTAAAAAAGAGTTGCAAAATCAAATTTATACAATAAATGTCCAACCGAACGACTATATTATTTGAAATTCAAATCCAAAACGTAAGAATTAACAAGTATGACAAATTTAAAACAATTATAAATATCAAAACATTGAATTAGTACAATATAGTAGTACAATGGTAGGCATAAAGTCTTATTCAATATGAAAACGGTGAATAACATTTGAATAATTAAATGAAAATTGCCCTAAATAGGAGTAAATGAGGTTTGGAATTCCAAAATATGACTACTATTGTAACACCCACCCCGTCCGGTCTGGCCTGTTCAGGACGGATGCCACTATCGTTTATCTTTTAATAAACTTTTCCGTTAAAATTATGGATTAGTTAAAATATAAAGAAAAGTCCAATGTTAACTTTATTTTAATAAGCTCCATTAATCAAAAGCTAACTTCAATCAGAATACAATCATTTTATTTGATAAAGTTGTCATAAAATAATTGTTTAATTACATTGATCTTATCCAAAACTCGAATTAATCAAATCACATTAACTTTTAAAATAATGTCGTTCAAACTAAAAACTAACTTTTAGGAAAATGACAACAAAATATAACACATGCAATGCAGTCATGTCCAGATGTCTCCTTGTCCCGAGGCTCCACTTGAATAATCTCTTTTCACCTACGTGTAGAAACGACTACACGCTCAGCAATAGGATTGATGAGTGGTACTATAATATAACATTTAATAAAACAAATATATATTTTTATCTGTCACTCAAATAGTGGACAAAGAAGTACTGATATCAGAAGTATTGATACCATTTAAACATTTAAACATGTATGAAAAACATATCTCACATTATCACCATAGAGTTCAGTTTAAATGAATATTACCTTTTAACATAATTTATTCATGACAATAAATTAATTTAGATTATTAATTTGGTAAAACTATATTTATAGGCAACTAATTTTTATTATTACTGTTATTGTTGCATAATTGTTGATATTATTATTACCATATCAAGCCCATCTTCATATCTGAGTTCTTATTAGTTACTCCGTATTATGATTAGTTGCAGATTCAACGAGTGTCTCAAGTGGAAATGAAAGTCAGAGTTTGAGTAGAAAAAAATTGAATGTTGCGAACATGCACCAAAGCTTAGAAAGGATTGCTACCCAGGGGATTGCTAATGGGCTGGGTGAAATTAATTGCCAGTTTGTAGATCTTATGGCGTCAAGGATTCAAATGAATTTAGAATGGACTTGCAAGAAGGCGGTGATATTGATCTTGGACTTCAATGCTAGGAGGTTATTGGTTAGATAATTATTTGGAACAAATGATAAATCTGATTGAAAGGAACCAAATGAGACTGAAATGGAAGGGGTAGATTGTTTTAATTCTGTATTATAAATTTATTCGGATTTATTTCAAATTCATAAATTTTGGATCGGGGTGAGACTTCAAGAGTCTAAGCTGTTCACAGTTCACTAAATTACATAATTTCACTAAATTACATAATTTATAATCAGTTCTAACTTGCATGTCATATTTGTTTTAAATTAAATAATATTCTTCCTTTCTAAAGTTTCTGAATAGGACATTCAAATAGGCGAAGTACTGCTGTATTGAAAAATTTTATAATAGAGGGAACTATTCTTCATGTTACTAGTGACTTGTTACCCCAAAATACACTATTGTGACCATTGCCTAGTTACTCGTACATAGTGAATAGTTATATTTTTGTTAATAAAACATAACTAGTCATACTTTTGTCCGGAGAAATTTTGTTAGTAATATATATGTCATCTTTTCAATAATAAAGTAAAAACTATATGGTGGAGGTTTGTGCACAGAAGAGAGAAACAATAGAAACCACAGATTCATTGATTAAAAAAGAAAGTGACAAAGTTTTTGGAACATATAGAAAAGTATATTGATATAGAAATTTTTTTTGGAGTAGAGACGGTTATGTGATGCTTATTTTATTAGATGGATTTAAATGATATATTGACAATTGTAGAGGGGTCTACATGACCCTTCTCTCTAATTTTTTTGCTTAATTTAATTTGCTGGTATTAGGATGAACACGTAAAAGTAACTGAATATGATCTTTTGAGCCACAAAAATTTGTTTAGTTTTTTTAAAAGTTAAGATTTAATAGGGTGCTTTAACTAGAGGGGTATACAACTAGCTACGACTCTATCACCTGCATGCTACACTTGCAACAGTTTCCTCAAGGGAAAAAATAACATTAATAAGTTAAAAAATATAGTTTGATACTCCAAATTATGGTATTTACATAGGCATACAAGGATACTTTTCCCAGGCTCTTACTGCATTGTTTAGTATAGATCACAATACAACAAGTTGTCAAAATATATCAGTGTCAACTATAGTTAATTTGGTGGCAGTAAAAAAGACATTAAAGTGTTGAGGCTTGATGTTTTGTATGACTAGGAGAAAAAGTGGAGATATTGGTTGGTTATTACTATAGGTGTACTATGCAGTATTAACTAAGAGTAGTACATCATATTCCTTAAATATTCATATTTCAAATGTAATCTTTAAACTATCATTGTTATGACTTTTTGGTACCCATAGTATTATATACGGAGTAGTTACTTATGAAGTATAACTGAGAGTAAATTACATTGAAAGGAAAGATTGGAGCCATGAAAGGAAATCATTCTTCATAGTACTTTTTATATATAGGTGTGGATTTCTCACATTAAAAATGAGTAAATAAATATATATAATTGTTCTCATGATTCACATATTTACAATTTATACAGAAAATAAAAACCCTTTGATCAAACACATGAGAAAAAAAGTGTGATTGGGCTCTTAGTTATAAACCTGAATTACAAATTCGTGATAGACTTTTCTCAATAGAATCCGAATATGAAACTTCTCTTTTAAGTAAGTATATAAAAACACTAATAAAAATCAAACTAACATGGAAGCATAATTCAGGCCATTTACCAGATAGAGAGAGCATCAAAGATGAAGCCGAGCAAAAAAAAAGCTAGTAATAGAGCCGGAGGGAGATAAAGAGCTTACCAATTCGATGTGATAATGGCCTGGAGCGGAAGTTATCTGGCAAATCCGTATGAGAGCGCAACGCTTGTAGCTATCAAGAGCGTAGCAGAGCTTCACGGCAAGATTCGAGAAGAAGCGGCATGGAAAGAAGATCGGTGGCTACTTACTGATTTGGGGAGAATCCGTAGAGCAGAGCTAGGGTTGGGATAACTAGGGTTAAATTGGAGAGGGAGGTGAGATATACTTGTTGGTATACACGATATTACTAAGTATTCAATTAGCGGGAAATAAAAGTGTTTAAGCGGGAAGGGATGGAATAGTATAAATTGACCATGAAAAAAATCAATTTTTTAAAATACTCGTGACGTATATTTAATTCGGATATATATGTATCAGAATTCGTAAGATGCAACACTTTTAATTAGTGTTACATACATCGGGTAGACGCATCACTATAAAATAAATGTTACATTAAACATAGTAATACGCAATGCTTTTTATTAAGTGTTGCGTAATCGTGCGATTTATATACTTATGCAACATGTTTAAATATGTGTTGCAGATTATTGGCTCTATACATAATATGTAACATAAAAACAAATGTTGCAAAGAAGGTGTTACAAAAGCTCTATTTTGTTGTAGTGGTAAAAACGACAAAGTTATAATAGATGTAGATAGTATTAAATACTCTCTCCGTTCTGCTAAAATTGTTTTATTTTTACTTTTCTATCTGTTCCACTAAGATTATCTTATACAAATTTAGTGAAATTTATATGGTTCTAAATCATTCTTACTTTATTAATTCAATATCAAATCATATAAATTCACATTTCTTAATAATGATTCCATTCCTTATTCAGTTATTCTCAATTTTTTCGTTTGCCAATGTGTGTGACATTCTCTTTCATCTCCTCTAAACACAACAAGAGGACGCCTTTATTCCTATTTAATTTATTTTAATTTAATTTACATCTGCAAGATTGTTTCCATTTTGCTCTCACATTCTCACATAGTCACATGTTCCTTTTCTTTTCACACACACCTGCTTTCTCTCCTACTTAATTCTTTGTTACATACATCTCTAATTATCACAAAACTTAAACATGAATTATTCTACCTATGTTAAAAGAGTGCATGAATTCCGTCAATATAATTTTCTTTTATTTTCACTTAATAATTTAAAAATAAAAAATCACATTTCAATGTTAAAAAATTAAAACTTCAGTAAAAATTCTTTTTTACACTGTTCGGTTAATAAAAATAAAATAGATTCAAGTACAATTTGATTATTTGTGGAGGCACAATGTAAGATTTTCTGATTTGTGTTTTCTAGACTAATATAAAAAAAATTCACCACTTTAAAATTCATATTTTTTAAACTTTATAGATGCATTATTGATGTCATATAAAATCTCATAATCCTTTACGATTTTTTATATATATTTTTTGTAATATGTGAAGTATAGATGAAAAAGTTATACTATGTAACTTTTTTTACCTTGAGTCATGCGCACTGCCTTAGTTACTTAGCATGAATGTATGTTTTTTTTCCTTTTTTGGGTTGTAAACTTTTCCTTAATTTTCAGCTCGGGTGTAATGTATCAAACCCCTTCATGATATATAAATGAGTTAATTACCAATTTAGGAGTAAAAAGTTTATAATTTGTCAAAATAGGAGTATTCACGTAACCTATGTTTGATAGGAGTCTTTTAAGACCAAGTTGACAAAAATAACCCTCTTGTAAATCACGTAAGCAACTTGAAATTGAAGGCTCATCATTCAAGAGTCGGTAAAAAAGCATTGGCTCATCACTGCCTCCGCCTCCGGCCTCCCACACAGGTGTTGCCCACCTCCACCTCCAATACCAGCGTTGTCATCCATCTCCGTCCAACTGCCATAGCTATCGGCCGCCGCGACCTTCCAACTCCGTCACCGCCGCCCAACCTACCTCGCCGGCTAAAATTGCCGTCATCGCTATCCCTGAAGATTAATTACAAATCTTCAATGAAAATGAATTTTTTAAACTGTCAAAATATTGGCAGATTTTATGTGGCAGATTTGAACAAAACTGCCATAATCTTGGCAGAATATGAACTCGACGACTACATTTCTGCCATGAACTTGGCAAAAATTTATGCCATCATCCAAAAATTGAGAAAATCAGGAAAATTTGAGAAATTACAAACTGGAAATAGGAAATAGAAGTCCAACAATCAATGAATCGAATGCCAAAACTAAAAAAAAAAAAAGGAATAGAAAAAATATGAAAAATAGAATAATAGGAGGAGGAGGAGGAAGGAGGAGGAAGATGAAGAGAAGGAGAAGAGACCTGATTTGTAGGCAGCATGCAGTGGAGTCAGCGGCAACAGAAGAAGTCGACTGGTCTGATTTGCAGGGAATAAGCCGATGGATCTTTGCAGGGGGGAAAAACCGAACGATGGAGAGGGGAGAGGATGGTGCGCAGAAAGGAGGGAGAAGAAGGTGAGCGGAAAGAGTAGATCTATCGTGAGTTAAATATAGTAGGGGTAATAATGGAATTGAAAAGTCCGTATGTTTTGAATAGGAGTAATATGATCCTATTTGGAGAAGAAAACATGTATACTCCTATTTAAGAATTTCTCCCAAAGTTTACTCCTATATGAGCCAATTCCACTATATAAATTTAGCGCATTAGCTAGCCATTTAAAAAATGCATCAAACTCTTCTGTGTTATAATTATTTCTTGGCAAAACCCTTCTAAAACAAATTTTATGGGAGAAAATCGCATATATGGCCCCTCAGTTATCCACAAAATTAATATCTCAAACATGTATTTCTGAGATTGTAAATGTCACCCCTCAATTGTCCAAATTTTTGTAAATGTGGTCTTTTAAGTAGTGAAATGTACTCTCGCCCACATTGTATATTTCACTCCTTGCTCGGATAATATTGTCAGTCGTCACTACATTCAGGGTCAAATTATCTGAAACAAATTTATTTTGGTCATAAATATATCTAATTGTTTCTTGTTTCAAACAATAAAATTGTATTACAGAACAACTCATTTTATATTTAAAAAACAATTCACTTTAAATAGTAAAAGATTAAATGATGGATAAAATGTGATCTATAATACTTTGTAACTTTAGTGACAACTTTAGTTCAGTTTTACGCTACAACGATCATTCACTATTGAGTTATGCATATTACCACATAGTAACTTTAATCACATTCTAGCTTTAGCTTTGATATGAGTTATTTTCTAGGAAAACCTTGCGTGTTATATATATTTAGTAGTAAGAAATAACGATATTCTTTTTAATATGAAAAAGACACTAATATGACAATAAAAGTAATGGACACAACTATTACTAGATGTTTTTATTTACATTTGAAGTAGCACTATTGTAGTATTGTATATTCCTCTCTATTTTTTTGTTATATTTTCTTTTTATTTTTACTTTTCCCCTTTTCTCTTCTTGTTACTTTTTATATTTTTTTCTTCTTTATTCTTGTTACATTAATTTCACCATCAATATATTTTTCTTTTTTTTTTGCATTATCATATATAATATATTTCTAAGTAACTCCACCCATTAAATCCTTCAACTATGACAAAAACTCTATGTCACAAAAAAGATTATGGGAAAATAAAATTCAAAGAAAAACAAAATATTGAGGAAAATTTAAGGAAAATAAAACATTCATTCAAAATAAAATTGCATTTTCCCGATTGTTTTTTTTTTCTTTACATTTCCAAAATATTTTATTTTTCTTTAAATTTTATTTTTTCCTCATCTTTTTATCACATAGAGTCTGTTGGGATATTAGGGTTCGACCCAAATATCCCTAGGGCCCAAAGAAGTAGCGGAGCCCAACAAATACCAGACACACAGAACGCCCGCACGACCTGTTCAATGTATCATGTTCCATTCGGGAACAGGCTGAGCATAATACTTGATAGATAAGGAGCATCATTCATGGCTGCCAATTAGATTATCCCAAAAGAACAGATCGGGAAGCCTAGCTTGCAAGCGGAAAGGGGCGCATTTAATGCTGGAGTATGGGTGCTCAAGTGGAAGGATGAGTGCTCAAGTGGCAAAGGCGTCATCCACTCAGGGTTGGCCACGTTATCCATCCCACTTACCCATTTCCAGTATAAATAGTACTACGTATCATTTATGCCATTGTAAAGGGTTAACTTTTGAATACTCATTAGCAATATAATCTCATTCTAAAATAATTCAGCATTGAGTTAGCATTATTAAACTAATACAAGTGGGCTATTGAATCATCTTGGCGGTAGATAATTGATGTGTGTTTTCTCGCACTAAAAATGGTTGTAGAAAAGTGGTGTAAAGTACGAGTATCGTCTCCACAGGGACGGACAAAAGGAAAATAAAGATTAACTAAATTTAGCGATTAAAAAGAAATAAATAAAATTAAAAATGCAGTTGTGCGAGATTGGTTGATTGATTAAACTAAAACTAATGCTAATGAGCGAATAAAAAGATTTGGTTTTCCTTAATTAACGACAAAGGGAACAGGAATTGATTCCGGGGTTAACCAGATTTCTGGCAAAACAGGCCTAATCACATGAATTTAATTTAATTGAGCCTAGCTAATCATTACTAAGTTCTTACCGCTCTCGCGGCGTAGAGTACAATAATTTAGGGGTCCAGGCTGATCTCTCATGCGACAAGATCCTAAATTATTGCCAAAACGAGCGAGCTTACGGCCCCTTAATCGCTACTAATCTCTTAGCGAACGATTAAGTGTGTGTGAATGTGTCCTAGAACAAATTAGATCTCTCTTAATTTATTCTATAAGCAATTGTAATTCTAGTGGCCATCTAGGTTACAAAAGATATCAGTTAAATTATTCAAACACAAATTAAACGACATTCATGCAATTAAACCGACAAGAATCTAGCCATACATCATGATTAACCCCTTCATCAACCCCAAATCCCTAATTAAACTACTCACGCCTCATAATTGACGAATCAAAAGAATTGGGATGAATAGAAATAATTGTCAATAATTAAAGAATTGAACTTACAAAGAATCCCAGGTTCTTGGATTAAACAACGTAAAAAAACGCAGGTAAACTCGTCCCTAGGCCTCTCTCCAAAGTTCGTAAACCTCAAAAGTGGGTATGAAGGCCTTATTTATAGAAAACAGTGAATTCGGGTCGAATTAGGACAAATCGCGGCCAGGCACGGTGCCAGGCACGATCGTGCCTGCGACCGTGCCTGCGGAACATGCGCGTTTAAAAGATGCAGACACGATCGTGCCTGCACCGGACACGATCGTGTCTGGTTGCCAGTAGCTCCGCGTCAATTCAGATGGCAGGCACGATCGTGCCTGCCCTAGGCACGGCCGTGCCTGACCATTTCTTCATCGTTTTTCTTCGTTTCTCGTTCCGAATGCTTCCGAATGCCTACGAGGTCGACCCAAATGCTCTTTCTTCACCAGAATTTCGTCGTGAATCTCCCGGTGACCTCCAAATCTTCCAAATCTCTCTCGAATGCCTTCAAATCCTTCCCAAATGCCTCTCAAGCGCCGATTGCCGGACTCTAACTTCTTCAAATCATCTTCAAATGCAATGAAACTCGATCCAATGCCTGTTAAACACAACTTGAGCCAAAATTGAGACTTGCGACGCCTTAAAGCCAGGAAAATCATCAAAATCCGACCTGAACACGCATCAAATGCGTGTCTAAATACGGACTTATCAGACTCCCCCACACTTAAGCTTTTGCTTGTCCTCAAGCAAATCGAACAACGGGACTTACGATAATCACCACACGGAATTTAAAATAGTTAGCATACACACGTAGTTAACGGGATATTCACAGGACAGACAATTTAAATCAAGAAAATTCTTCCCTAAACTATACCTTTGTACTCAAGCTAAACTATTTGACACAATTATTCACAACATCCTCAAAGTAGTGACAGCATACACAAAAAAGCTAGCTACTGATCAGAAGGACTTGTGAATGTGATGGTGAATGGCTAATGATAATAGTCCCTTTATTTTGAGAGATAGGAATATCCTAACAAAGACTTAATGTATTTAGGAACTTCAGGGTTATTCTTAGGAACAAGGAACTCAGTAGGCCACAAATTAGGAACAATCATTTAAACTTATGCAAAGAGTAGACATGGTGTACAACTAAGCTAAACCGTCTCGGCACATTTGTGCTTCAACGTATACTTGAAGTACGCGGAGGACTAAAGCTATTTTTTTTCAATAGCCTCCAAGTTCATTAATTTAGTTTAGTTTTCCTTGTCATGTTGGCACGAGAACGCCGTTTCTTTCGAAAGATACCCAAGTCTCATCTTACGCTTTTTGACCGGGGCTCCCATTCTCTTCTTCGCAAAGTAAGAGGTCTAGCTATATTAATTTTTCACCTTTCGGATTCTCACTAGACATTACCCCATTCTAATCTCAGCCTCACCAAGGAAAAATAGCAATTTATAGTTCATTAATTCAAAGTGAAACCATGCCTACACTGCAATCCTCGAAAGTATCAAATTCCTAAAAAGTGACCGCTCTTACCCCATTTGGGGCATAGGAACAGTGCCAAAATGACTCCTACACACAATTCCCTAAACTTAACAAATTAATCCCTTAATTCCCTAAACATCAAGACCAAGTCAGAAATATTCACAGGTAAGGAAACAGGTCATTTGGCTATGGAGCTTAATTAATTGAGTAACAAAGAACGGTTAGGCTCAAAATGGCTTCTCCTAAAGGGTTCTTTCAGGTCAAATGGGAATTTTGTTGATTCATTCAATGGGCGACTAATGCCTTCATCTTCTCAACAACTAGATTATAGTGCAAGCAATTTAAGCCTAAACACTTCAAAGATGTTCTAAAAGCATAGTCAAAACGCTAGCCAGCTCACAAAGACACAGTTTTAAAGAAAAATTTTCAAAAATTTTGCATGAATTTCCTATGAATATACAGCTAACACCTGCGCATGCTAACTCTAACAAATCACATGTGACAACTACTGCCCGAATGCCCAATTCACTCCCCCACACTGAGACTTTGGCATCGCCCTCGATGACCAAATATGCATTATGTACTAGGGGTAAAGAGGAAAGGGTCACGCGTGCTCAAAAACAACTCAAGTTAACATTACGCATTGAGTACAAAGAATCATGGAAACTCCCCTATCGCGTTGGTCAGTCAGGAACAGAACTGGGTCTTGATTCTCACAAACACATTCATCCACTAAGCTGCAACACATCATGAACACAAAGCAAAGCATAATAAAAAGCGTTAAGTGTAAGAGTGAGAGTGTGAGTGTGATAGTGTTTACGGTACAGTCATCCAACAAAATGATGATACAGATGCTAGCAGAGGACAATCTAAATGACATCTAATACTCGGGAGGGGGTGGCGGTGGATAAGCGTCAAAGAACGAACTCCAGCTAGTTTCCATGGAAGTGAGTCTCTCATCAATCCAGGTGTACTGAGACTGGAGCTGTGAATAATGGAGTGTCTGGTCCTCCCTCATCTCTCTGTAGAAGTCCTGCTGCTCGAAGCGCATCTGATCAAATCTCTCGTGCTGCTCCGCGGACAGCTGCCAATACACAACATCCTGGTGCTCATGCATCCCCGCCCAAGAATCCGGAAAAGCTGTGTCGTAGGGGGGTGCATCGTATGGAACCTCGTGAGCAGCAGCCTCCATCTCTACCTCATCATCATCATCAACGTCATCATCATCATCATCATCAGCCCGCTGTCCTCCTCCTCCTACTGCTGCTGCCGGCTGTGTCCTACTCCTCGCTACGCCAGTGTTGACCTCGGGGAGCCGGGTCAAAGAAACAAAACTGGAGCTCTCCTCCATCCTCAGAAATCGGCCCCCGAACCCCATCCCAGTCAACAGTCTCGTAATGAATGGGCCAACATAGATGGCCTTTATGTGGTTCGTGGCTTGGCGGTGGAGGAGTTTGGCTATGAGATAGCCCATGTGGGGCTTGCGGTTGTGGATCATACAGTATAAGCAGAAGAGGTCAGTCTGAGTGACCTTACTGGCAACCTCGGCCTTGCCGGTGATGGTGGAGGAAAGGAGTGCGTGTATAATGCGGTACTGGCGGGGGTAAAGTAGAGTGTTAGGGGACATCTTCGGTCTGTAAGTCCCGCCATCTCTCGTGATCGACTCCCAGAATGCCTGGCGGTCTACGCCTGGTGGAAAGTCTGTCAAAGAAGCCTCGTGCTGACCGTCATCCTCAATCCCCGTAAAGCCCAAATGATAGCGCACCTCCGCCATGGAGATGGCATGGTCCTCCTCGAATGCCCGGAACTTGATGACGGGCCTACGGTTATCAGCAATAGGGATGACCTTCGGCATCTTGAACGTTGCCAGCACCTCACAAGTAATCTCTCGATAGGTCATGTCACGGATCCCGAAAAACAAATGCCTCCACCACCCCCGTCTCAATAAGAACATCACGTCATCCCTCACTCCTTCCGCCGTGAGTGAGTCCTCATCCGGGAAGTAAAATGTGCCCATAGGCTTTTGCAGCAGCTCCGTATGCTTCAGTTCGTCCCGCAGTTGCGGGAACCTCGGCTGGTACCGGCCGGTGTTGCCTCGGCTAGAGCTAGCACCTCCACCTCTAGTGTGATTCTGCCTTGGCGCCATCTGTCAAAACAAATCCAAACAAGAATTCCAACGGGGCTTCCAATTGTTAGAACAAATTTTCAAAGTACAGCAATGGCCCCGTCAGCAATTAATCAAGTGAAACTATCATCATAGTAGAACAAACCCAAGTTTAACCAGAATAGTTGAAAAGTTTGAATTTTTATCAAAGAAAAGTTCTTTGAAGGGAAAACTGTCAAATAGGTCCTCGAACTTTCATAAAAATGTCAATTAAGTCCTTCTATAGGAGGTTCTGTCCGGCCGTCGCGATTTGGGGCAGTTACCGGTGGAATTTTTTGATGAATTTTTTTAAGCATCTTATTCACCAAGTCTAGTTTACTCATACCAAATTTCAGCTAAAAATTCAATCGGGAACACATTCAAATTAATTCTTCAAGATAACTGCGCATTTTCGCGTTCTCGAATTAATTTGAATGTGCTCCCGATTAAATTTTTAGCTGAAATTTGGTATGAGTAAACTAGACTTGATGAATAAGATGCTCAAAAAATTTCATCAAAAAATTCTACCGGGAACCGCCCCAAATCGCGACGACCGGACAGAGTGTCCTATATAAGGACTTAATTGACTTTTTTATGAAAGTTCGAGGACCTATTTGACAGTTTTCCCTTCTTTGAATAAAAGTTCAAATTTTCAACGACACACGGTATAAACAAGGTCACAAGAAAGCGTATTCATCACAACAGTGTTTGTAGAATGGAGTTCCTCCCAAAAGATTTAGAGAGATAATTAGAATAGGGGAAGAACTCAATTCTCAAATTGGACAAAGTTTGGCCTAAAATTGGGGATTTATGCTCAAATTGTCTTAACAACAAGGTTTCAACATCACAAACAACAATTCATTCCTGAATTTAATCAACAAGCACAAAATCCCCAAAATTCTCTCACATTCAACAAGTTGCAACCCTAAATTGGCTAAATTAGCTCAAAAATTAGGGATTTCAATCAAAAGAGTCAAATTCATCAACAAAGAACATCAATAACATCAATACAAGCTTCAATTTAATCGTGGTGATGCAAATCCCTGATTTTAGAGCATAATAATTTGAATTTCTAGAAAAGCTTGGAGAAACCTCCATTAATGGAGAGAAGAGAAGAAAAGAGAAGAAGAAGAAGAAGATACCTTGGAGAAGAGAGAGAAGAGAGAGGCGGTCGGGCTCGGTGGTGCGGCGGTCGCGGCGGACGCGGCGGTCACGGTGGTGGGTCGGCGGTCATGGCGGTGCTGCGCTGGAGTTCGGTCGAAGGGGAAGATCGCAGGGGGAAGGGGCTTGGGTCTCTGGTCGCGTAAAGGGAAAGAGGGGAATGGGTTAGGTATGTTTAAAGTCGCGGGGGTATTTTAGTAAAATTGCCCAGGCACGATCGTGCCTAGGTCAGACACGATCGTGCCTAGGTCAGACACGATCGTGCCTGGGCAGCAGTGGGCTATGTTCCCCTCGCGCCCCAGGCACGATCGTGCCTCCAGCCATACACGATCGTGCCTGGCTGGCAGTAGCCTCACATATTTTTCCCCTTTTGCAGGCACGGTGTGCCTGCCCAGGCACGACCGTGCCAGGCAAAAATCCATTTTTTTTGTGGGTTTTTTGAAAAGCAACAAAACTAAACTAATGAAGCATAAATTGAGCTCGGGTTTCCTCCCGAGAAGCGCTATTTTTAACGTCGTTTGCCCGACGCAACTACGCACTCATCTCTCTAAATTCGTGACAAAGGTCACCTCACGCTCGCGTTCTAGCGGTCCTCCGTAGTATTTCTTCAAATGATGGCCATTAACTTTAAAACGGCCTTTCTCAGGATGATCAATCTCAACAGTTCCATACGGAAAAACTTCGCTCACTACAAAAGGACCAGACCACCTAGACTTCAACTTTCCTTTAAAAATCTTCATTCAGGGATTGAATAGCAGAACTTGATCCCCCTTACAAAACTCTTTTCCTTGCTTAATGTGCCGATCATGATAGGCTTTGGTACGCTCCTTACTAATCTTAGAGTTCTCATAGGCCATAAGCCTCCACTCATCCAACTCGTTGAGCTTCCAAAGCCGTTCATGACCCGCCAAAGACAAATCCTTATTCAGTGTTTTCAAGGCCCAGTATGCCTTATGCTCTATCTCTACCGGAAGGTGGCACGCCTTCCCATAAACCAAGTGAAACGGAGTAGTGCCAATGGGTGTCTTATACGCTGTACGCAGTGCCCACAGCGCATCATCTAACTTATCGGACCAATCCTTCCTATGGGTCTCAACAGTCTTCTCAAGGATGGTCTTAATGTCCCTATTCGAGTTCTCAACTTGGCCACTAGTTTGAGGGTGATAAGGGACGCCCCCTTTATGAGTGACCCCGTACTTTGCCAGAAGGCGAGTCATCGGATCATTCCTAAAGTGGGTACCCCTGTCACTTATCAAAACTCGTGGCACTCCAAACCTAGAAAACAACTTTTTCAGAAAACGAATCACAACTCTAACATCATTTGTGGGCAGAGCTTCAGCCTCAACCCACTTAGAGACATAATCCACAGCAAGCAGAATGAATTTATTACCTTTAGAACCCGGGAACGGCCCCATGAAGTCAATGCCCCAAACATCAAATACCTCACAAGCCAGTATAAAATTCTGGGGCATCTCATCCCTCTTGGTAACCGCCCCGGTGCGTTGACACGTGTCACATTCCTGCACAAACGTTAGAGCATCTTTAAACAAAGTGGGCCAGAAGAAACCACATTCCAACACCTTACGAGCTGTCCGGTTAAAAGAATAGTGTCCCCCAGTCGGTCCAGAGTGACAATGTTTAAGAATTTCCACTCCTTCACTCAGGGGAACACATCTTCTAACAACCTGATCAGCACAAATACGAAACAAATATGGTTCCTCCCAGAAATAATACTTCAGATCAGCAAAAAATTTCCTTCGTTGATGAGGTGTATAATCAGAAGGAACAACACCCCCAACAAGATAGTTGGCGATGTCAGAAAACCAAGGCACCTCATCAACGATCCTCAAAAGTCTCTCATCAGGAAAAGTACCCTCAATATCTCTCTCACTCAGGGAATCAAGAAAGGGGTTTTCTAACCTACTCAAGTGATCAGCCGCTAAATTCTCAGCCCCTTTCTTATCCCTTATCTCAATATCAAACTCCTGGAGTAGTAATATCCACTGAATCAATCTAGGCTTAGCATCCACTTTTTGCATCAAATATTTAAGAGCAGAATGATCGGTGAATATCACAACCTTAGACAAAATCAGATAAGGACGAAACTTGTCAAGAGCAAACACAACAGCAAGCAATTCTTTCTCGGTGGTAGTGTAGTTTTCTTGGGCACTATCGAGAGTTTTAGAAGCATAAGAAATAGGCTGAAAATGTTTCTCTCGACGCTGCCCAAGAACGGCTCCTACTGCAAAATCACTAGCATCACACATAATCTCAAAAGGTAAAGACCAGTCAGGAGCTACTACCACCGGTGCCTTGACCAGTTTCTCCTTCAAACACTCAAAAGCCTCTAAACACTCCTTTGAGAAGTCAAACGGCGTGTCCTTCTCAAGGAGCTTAGTCATGGGTCGGGCTATCTTAGAAAAGTCCTGGATGAACCTACGGTAGAAACCTGCGTGGCCTAGAAAACTCCTAATGGCACGGACCGAAGTAGGGGGAGGTAATTTAGAAATCACATCAACCTTAGCCGGATCAACCTCAATCCCCCTACTTGAAATCTTATGCCCTAGGACCACTCCCTCACTAACCATGAAGTGGCACTTCTCCCAATTAAGTACCAAATTCACCTCTCGACACCTAACCAGGACTTTCTTCAAATTCTCTAAGCACTCATCAAAAGTATCACCATACACAGAAAAGTCATCCATAAAAACCTCCATAAACTTCCCAATGAAATCCCCAAAAATAGCAAGCATGCATCTCATAAAGGTAGCAGGGGCATTACATAATCTGAACGCCATCCTCCGATAAGCAAAGGTACCGAATGGACATGTAAAAGTGGTCTTATCCTGGTCCTCGGGGGCTATGGGGATCTGGAAGTATCCCGACATCCCGTCAAGGAAACAGTAAAACTTATGCCCTGCTAGCCTCTCTAAAATCTGATCAATGAAGGGGAGGGGGAAGTGGTCCTTCCGGGTGGCGGCATTCAATCTTCGGTAATCAATGCAAACCCGCCATCCGGTGACCGTACGTGCAGCAATCAACTCATCTTTATCATTCCTAACCACAGTCATCCCCCCTTTCTTGGGAACCACCTGGGTCGGGCTGACCCAAGGGCTGTCTGAAATTGAATAAATAATCCCTACATCTAACAGACGGATGACTTCCTCCCTGACCACCTCCTGCATATTAGGATTCAGTCTCCTCTGTGGCTGCACTACCGGTTTAGCATTATCTTCCATCAAAATTTTATGAGTGCAGAAAACAGGACTGATTCCTTTCATGTCAGAAAGTTTCCGGGCTAGAGCTTCCCTTTGTTCACAAAGCAAGTCAAGACATGCAGATTTTTGGGATGGATCAAGCCCGGATGCAAGAATAACAGGGAGGTCAGGACTATCATCAAGAAACGCATACTCAAGGTGGGAAGGAAGAGGCTTTAGATTTAATGGAGAAGGAGTAACAATAGAAGAATCAGTCTGACAGTCTTCCTTCTCCACCTTATCTAAGTCATCTTCCTTCCCCTTCACATCAATAGCATCACTTGAGTCCTCCTCCCCATCAAGCATAAGACAATCAAAACTAGGGAGGAGCTCAAGATCCTCTGCTGACAAACTATCATCCAAAAGAAGATCAAAGAAGGCTTCATCAGAAAGCACGTTAGGAATGCAATCCTCCACCAAAGAATCAACCACATCCAAATAAAAACACTCTCCACTATCCTGACAGGGCCTCCTCATTATTTTGGACATATCAAAGGTGACAGTCTCATCTCCAACGCGGAGGACAAGCTTACCGTCTCCAACATCAATAAGTGCTCGGGCAGTTGCCAAGAATGGTCTGCCTAAAATCAATGGTACCTCTCGATCCTGATCCATGTCCAAAATAACAAAGTCCACTGGAAAAATAAATTTGTCCACTTTAACCAACACGTCTTCAATAATCCCTTGGGGATATTTGACTGAACGATCAGCCAACTGAATGCACATACGTGTAGGTTTAAGTGGACCGAGTGCAAGCTTTTCATATAAAGCAAGAGGCATCAAATTAATGCTTGCACCCAAATCAGCCAGGGCCCTATCAAAAGTAAGATCTCCTATAAAGCAGGGAATAGTAAAAGAACCTGGATCCTTAAGCTTCTTCGGCAGATCTGTCCGTATCACAGCTGAGCACTCCTCATTAAGCGTCACAGTAGACGCTTCTTCCAGCCTCCTCTTGTTCGTGAGCAAATCCTTCATAAACTTCGCGTACTTCGGCATCTGAGCTAGTGCATCCACGAATGGTAAGTTAATCTGCACTTGTTTCATGAGATGCAGAAACTTACCAAACTGGTCACTATCGTTCTTCCTAGTCAATCGCGCCGGATAGGGGAGAGGTGGGGTGTAATTCTTGACCGGAACGGACTGTTTTGATGCAGCCGCCACCTCTCTTCCCTCATCTTTCTCCTTCTCTTCCTCCCGGACAGCCGGTTCAACTTGAACTTCATCAGGCTTCTTTGTTATGGCAGCAGGTTCCAGCTCTTTTCCACTCCTCAAGGTGACTGCCTGAACATGTTCTCTGGGATTTGGTTCAGTATTACTGGGGAGGGATCCCTGAGGCCTCTCAGATAGAGCCTTAAAGATCTGCCCCAATTGAGTCTCTATGTTATTCATCCTTGAGTCCGCCCTCAGTTGATTTTGTGCTAATTTGTTGAACACTTCTTCCATGCTAGAAAATTTTTGCTCAGTCTCCTTTCTGAAGCTTCCTTGCGCCGGTTGAGGTGCTTGTTGTTGGCCTTGTGGTACCTGGGGCTGATTAAAGTTTCTAGACTGCTACTGATTTCCTTGCCCGTATTGCCCTTGCTGCTGCTGTCCGTAGGGCTGATTGTAGTAGCCCTGGCGCTGATAATACATCGCATCCACTTGCTCTACTCCAGGGGCTGCCGAGTGTGCCATCATCGTGCATTCATGTGGCGAATGGAGTCCCCCACACATAGAACAAGAGGGACTAATAGGAACGGGGGCCACCATATTCACACTGGGCACCGAGAGAGCAAGTTCCGTCTTCTTTTGATTGTCTTCCACCGTAGTAGCAAGCTTCTGAATCAAACTAGACAAAGCATCTACCCTTACAGAAAGGGCCGAATTCTCACTGATCTCGTACAATCCCGGGGCCTTCTGGTGAGGTGTGTCCCGAGAACTATACCATGAAGCATTATTAGACACAATCTTCTCCACTAATTCTTCCGCAACCTCAGATGGCAACTGAGGAAAAGCTCCACCGCCCGAAGCATCTGTTAGGGATCTACCTATTAGATTAATAATAATAATTCTAATAGGAATACTAGAAGAATAGACACTGCTTAGTGGGCCTGTTATTTTGGGCCTATTATTATAGAGAATAATAAGAGGGCTTATACTATAAATAGAAAGGGGAAGGAAGGCATAAGGAGGCTTTTGGACTGTTTAGTCTCTGGGAACTGGGAAGATCTGAGAAAGTCGGTTTCTCTTATCTTTGGGGGCTTCGGCCTGGTTACTGTACTGTTCTTCTTGATTCAATAAAAGTATTCATCTGTTTCTTCTTAATCTTTCTGTAATTGTTCTGGATTTCTGGAGGTCTCTAACATTGGTATCAGAGCGTGTTCGATCGCTGGATGAGATACACGCGCGAAAAAATGGAGGGAAGAACTAACGACGTTGAACGGAATCAGAGAGAGATGGAAGCGAGGACTGAACGACATTTGCAGGAAATGCAAAACACTTTGCTGGAGAGATTGGCAGCGATGCAAACTGACATCGCGAGGTTGCAGGTGAATCGATCGGAACGATCGAGGAGCCAATCGCATCAATCGCATAGATCCAGTACTTCGCATCGAACAACTACCTCGCATCACAGCACTCATCATCAACACAGGAAGAACAGCTATCACTCAGATGATTCAGATCATCATTCCGAACACTCTGAATCGAACAGCCATCGTGATCCATACTGGATTCACAGGAAGCAACATCCGGTTGGAAGGAAGATCGATCTACCTATTTTTAACGGAAAGGACGTGTTCGGTTGGCTGGTGCGGATGAACCGATACTTCCGGTTGAACCGTACTGATGAGGAGGACAAAATTGATGTGGCAGTGGTGGCTATGGAAGACCAATCGCTGAGTTGGTTCCAATGGTGGGAGGGACAAGCTCATCGACAAAACTGGAAGACTTTCACAAAAGCTCTGGCGAAGCGTTTTCAACCTGATTTGGTGCAGGATCCGTTAGGACCTTTATTAAGTTTAAAACAGAAGGGGACAGTACAAGAGTACAGAGATCAATTTGAAACAGCCATAGCTTTTCAAGGACACCTCACTGAAGAAGTCCTGAGAGGGATTTTTATGAAGGGATTAAGGAGAGATGTCCGAGCTGAATTGAAGCTATATTCTGCAAAGTCCTTGGCAGCAGTAATGGATACAGCTACTTTAATTGACAACAAGAATCTGGAAGCCTTGATTGTAAGGAACAAGGAAGAGGGGAGGAAGAAATCACAGAACAAAATTCAGAATTGGGGAGATGACAGGAATTGGAAAAATTACAAAGGCAATCTTGTGATGGTATCCAAGAGGACTGAGGATTTCAACATCAACAGAGAGGAAGGAGAACAGAATAAGAAAAGTGGCCCAAGATTATCTCAAGAAGAGTTAATGGAGAGGAGCAAAAAGGGGCTTTGTTTCAAATGTGGTGATAAGTGGGGAAGAGAACATATATGTAAGATGAAAAACTTCAAAATGGTTCTGGTGGAACAGTCTGAAGGTGAAGAAAATTCTGAGGAAGACTCTGGTAGTTCTGAGAGGGATAAGGCTACTCACATGGAACATAAAACTATGCAGCTGTCCATTTGGAGTAAGGAGGGCATATCTTCTATAAAAACTTTTAAGGTTAAGGGTAAAATGAGCTGGCCTGGAGGAGAGAGGATGGTAAATATCCTCATTGATACTGGAGCTTCACACAATTTTTTATCACAGAAATTAGTGGAAGAATACAACATTCCTTTTCAACCTATACAGGGGTATAAGGTCCAAATTGGGAATGGTAAATGCATTACCAATGCGGGCAGAAGTAATATGGTAAAGATGAAGATTCAAGGCATAGATATTCAGCAGACTTACTACCTGCTAGAGCTGGGAGGCACTGATGTAGTGCTGGGAATGGACTGGCTAACTGGATTGGGAGACATGGAGGTTAACTTTAAGGAGCAAATCTTAAAGTGGAGACAACAAGACAAGAATTGCATCATTAAAGGGAATACTGCTTTAAATCAGATGGAGTTGTCTAGCTTGGAGCAGATGGAAGAAACTGAAGGACCACGGAAGAAGATCAGATCAGACACTGAATATAGTGTTGAAGGAGTTGACTCTGAATCCTCAGACACTAAATGTTGCTTGGTTTTATCGTTGCATCACACTGGCAAAGAGTTTCAGGGCATGTACATAAGTTCTGCTAATGGTGTAGGTGGTACACCTCAGGAAGATAAGGAGATAATGGTGGCTATTGAAGGCCTGAAGACTAATGAAGAAACTGAAAATTCATCAGAGATATTATATGCTGCAGTAACATCTATGAATTGGAATAATCAAGTAGAGAAGCTCTTTTCTCAGAAATCAGTTAGATATTGGGAAGGTAGAAGCGCAAGGAAGAGGATGAAGCAAAAGATCTTGGCTATCTCTTACCACCCACCTTGAGGGCAAGGTGGATGTTTAGGGAGGGAGTATTGTTAGGGATCTACCTATTAGATTAATAATAATAATTCTAATAGGAATACTAGAAGAATAGACACTGCTTAGTGGGCCTGTTATTTTGGGCCTATTATTATAGAGAATAATAAGAGAGCTTATACTATAAATAGAAAGGGGAAGGAAGGCATAAGGAGGCTTTTGGACTGTTTAGTCTCTGGGAACTGGGAAGATCTGAGAAAGTCGGTTTCTCTTATCTTTGGGGGCTTCGGCCTGGTTACTGTACTGTTCTTCTTGATTCAATAAAAGTATTCATCTGTTTCTTCTTAATCTTTCTGTAATTGTTCTGGATTTCTGGAGGTCTCTAACAGCATCAAGCATCATCTTTCCTTCGTTGTTGAGTCCACTATAGAAACAAGATAGAACCTCACAATCAGTCATCTTGCCTTGAGGGCAAGCTCTTCTCAGCACCTTGAATCTCTTCCACGCCTCAGCTAGTGTCTCCAAAGAACCTTGCTTGAATTCCTGTAGCTGCTTCTTCAACTTTATGGCCTTTGATGTTGGGAAGTATTCTTTTATGAAGGCCTTGTGCAGCTGATCCCAAGTCTGAATGTGGTGATGTGGATTGCTATCCAACCACCTCTGCGCGTCATCCCTCAAAGAGAAAGGGAATAGTAACATCCGTACCTGATCATCATCTAGCCCAGGAATCTTGAAAGTCTGGCACATCCTCAGAAATTTGGTAATGTGTGCCACTGGATCTTCCGTAGGGCTCCCTCCGAACTGATTGTTTAGGACCATATTGATCACCGCCGGCTTGATCTCGTAACGGGGTGCAGTAATTCCCGGTACCTGAATACTGTCATACTCTGTGATCTCGGGGGCTAGGAAGTCTGCAATGCTCTCTCCTTGATAGAGTGGATTGTCATGTGGGACATAGTTGTGGTAAGGAGGAGCTTGATATCTCGGCTGATGAACTGGTTGGGGTCTAATGGGTTGTGGACGGATGATATTTGGCTGAGGTTGGGTTTGATGGAATTGTTGATATTGGGGTTGGAAAGGCTGATTTTGTGGCTGAGTAGGGGGTGGATTTTGTGTTACTGGCGGTTGGTTCTGTCTGGGCTGGAAGACTGGATTGTTTTGCCCTAGACCTTGCATCCCATAGGATTGGTTTTGAAAAGTGGTTTCGGGAGCAATAGAAGTATTTTGGAAGAGCTGATAGAGTGGTGGAAGATTTAATTGTGGAGTGGACTGATTTTGGGGGAAGAATGGGGTACGGAGATTTTGATACCCCGGATAAGCTCTAGGTGAATTTTCTTGTGAAGACTGGGGAGAGGTATTAACATAAAAATCCAGATTACCAGAAGTGGTTTGGGCCTCAGACGTCCCAGCTATTCCAGATGCGGATGGTTGATCCATGGTGGCTTTCTGTTCTCGTAAAGCCTTGCGGTTCTGCTTAGCTAGCTTCTCGATCTCAGGATTAAGAGGGACTAGTGATTCTCCCTTCTTAGAGCGTGTATGCATAAACAGATCTGACCTGCAAGGTTAGCAGACAAAAATCCTACGAAAAACTAAAAACAAGTCGCTAAAGTTAATTAACCCTCAAAACCGACACCGTCCCCGGCAACGGCGCCAAAAACTGATGTGTGTTTTCTCGCACTAAAAATGGTTGTAGAAAAGTGGTGTAAAGTACGAGTATCGTCTCCACAGGGACGGACAAAAGGGAAATAAAGATTAACTAAATTTAGCGATTAAAAAGAAATAAATAAAATTAAAAATGCAGTTGTGCGAGATTGGTTGATTGATTAAACTAAAACTAATGCTAATGAGCGAATAAAAAGATTTGGTTTTCCTTAATTAACGACAAAGGGAACAGGAATTGATTCCGGGGTTAACCAGATTTCTGGCAAAACAGGCCTAATCACATGAATTTAATTTAATTGAGCCTAGCTAATCATTACTAAGTTCTTACCGCTCTCGCGGCGTAGAGTACAATAATTTAGGGGTCCAGGCTGATCTCTCATGCGACAAGATCCTAAATTATTGCCAAAACGAGCGAGCTTACGGCCCCTTAATCGCTACTAATCTCTTAGCGAACGATTAAGTGTGTGTGAATGTGTCCTAGAACAAATTAGATCTCTCTTAATTTATTCTATAAGCAATTGTACTTCTAGTGGCCATCTAGGTTACAAAAGATATCAGTTAAATTATTCAAACACAAATTAAACGACATTCATGCAATTAAACCGACAAGAATCTAGCCATACATCATGATTAACCCCTTCATCAACCCCAAATCCCTAATTGAACTACTCACGCCTCATAATTGACGAATCAAAAGAATTGGGATGAATAGAAATAATTGTCATTAATTAAAGAATTGAACTTACAAAGAATCCCAGATTCTTGGATTAAACAACGTAAAAAACGCAGGTAAACTCGTCCCTAGGCCTCTCTCCAAAGTTCGTAAACCTCAAAAGTGGGTATGAAGGCCTTACTTATAGAAAACAGTGAATTCGGGTCGAATTAGGACAAATCGCGGCCAGGCACGGTGCCAGGCACGATCGTGCCTGCGACCGTGCCTGCGGAACATGCGCGTTTAAAAGATGCAGACACGATCGTGCCTGCACCGGACACGATCGTGTCTGGTTGCCAGTAGCTCCGCGTCAATTCAGATGGCAGGCACGATCGTGCCTGCCCTAGGCACGGCCGTGCCTGACCATTTCTTCATCGTTTTTCTTCGTTTCTCGTTCCGAATGCTCCCGAATGCCTACGAGGTCGACCCAAATGCTCTTTCTTCACCAGAATTTCGTCGTGAATCTCCCAGTGACCTCCAAATCTTCCAAATCTCTCTCGAATGCCTTCAAATCCTTCCCGAATGCCTCTCAAGCGCCGATTGCCGGACTCTAACTTCTTCAAATCATCTCCAAATGCAATGAAACTCGATCCAATGCCTGTTAAACACAACTTGAGCCAAAATTGAGACTTGCAACGCCTTAAAGCCAGGAAAATAATCAAAATCCGACCTGAACACGCATCAAATGCGTGTCTAAATACGGACTTATCAATAATCTTTCCCATTTTCTTTTCTTCACAAGCACATTAAAAATATTCAAAAGACTCTGTTATTCCTCTGGATCTAGACGAATTCACCTCAGTAACTTGAACTAAATCCCAAGAAACTTACTTTACTCAGTAGCACCTCACAACTCAACAACAACATGGTTAGAATTTCATCTGAACAAGCATAGGACACATCTGAGGATCTGGGAAACAGCGGAATGTCACGCACCTGGATGACTACTAGGCGGACCAATAACGAATGGACGCAAGGTAGAGGCGGGGATATCATTAACCTGATCCCCAGGAAGCCAGAAGAGACCCTCGAGTGATGAGGGAGTTAGCAGAGGCTATGCGCCGTATGGCAGACGAACAGGACGAAGAGTGCACCGTGTACACGGCGGAGACTGAGTGTACACCCCCCTCTCTGATCCGCTGCATGCAATCGTTTGATGAACGAACCGGCGAAGCGGAGTCCTCCCGTGCCTTGGTTCACACGCGGATGGGCAGGGGAGGCCACCGGAGGGAAGATACACCCAGACGCAGGCAACATACTGTCACGGACCAGACACCATACGTTCCCAGATATGGGGCGCAGTTCAAGGAACCAACTCCCGTGGTAAACCCTGTAGGCCAACGTTTCTTGTATGTCGAGGGGGATGGTGGTCGTTTCATACAAAGACGCCATGAAACGGATGCAGCCTAAGCAGAGTTCGTCCCATACATGGTGGATCCTGCGACGCCGGCCCGAACGGCACAGGATGTGGCGCTAGCAATGCAACAATAGATTATGGCAGACATTCTTATGAAATTTGGGTTCTCTAAGAGGTTTATAACGCTGATTATGAATAATTTACCAGCCACACATCTCTCAATTATGATTAATGGAACTCCTTTTGGTTTCTTTCAGCCTAACATCGGGGTTAAACAAGGAGATCCCTTATCACCTTTCATTTTTATCATTGCAAGTGAGGCCTTTTCTAGGGGGATTAATTTTTTGATAAATCAAGGATAGATTAAGACATATTGGATGGGGGCTCATGGTTTTCCAATTTCGCATTTGGGTTTTGCTGATGATTTGCTAATTTTCATTAATGGAAAAGCTAGATCAATCCTTAATTTTAACAAGTTTTTGAAGGATTACCAGCAGACTTTAGGGCAGACCATAAACCTTGATAAAAGCTCTTTCCTTTGTGGAAAAACGTCATTACCCCGCATGAATCATATCAAAGAACTTCTTGGAATGAGTAAGGCCACTCTTCCAATCATATATCTGAGAGTTAACCTTCATAAGGGGATAAACATGTTTAATTTTTGTGGGCATATCATTCAACGATGTGAGAATAAACTGACCCCATGGAAGCAAAAAAAATCTTTCACAGGGAGGAAGATTAATTTTAATTAAGCATGTTCTTAACTCCATCCCTATGCATGTTCTTGCAGCTGATAATCTGCCAAAGAAAGTTATTAGAGTGCTTAATAGTAAAATGACATCTTGTTTCTTGGGTTATTCAGGAGATAAGTCCAAGCATCATTGGATTAAACGGGATCATTTATGTGTGCCAACTGATGAAGGGGGATTGGGTATAAGGTCACTCTCAGATATAGAAAAGGCATTTACTCCAAAGTTATGGTGGAAGTGGAAACAGGGAATTCTGTCTGGAATGAATTTATTAAGCAAAGATATGATAGAGAAGGAGTCATGTTACCTAGAGTGACCGATTCATCAGTCTCGAGAAGAATTTGCCATATACATGACTATGCCTCCTCATTATGCTCTGAAACACCTTCTAGGGAATTAATCTGGAATGAAGAATCCAATGGTCAGTTTACAATAAAGTCAGCATATAATGAAGTTAGACACCATCTCACACCTACTCTATCATTCAAACATCTGTGGAACCCTAGGCAAGAATTAAAAATAAAGCTTATGCAGTGGAAAATTATCAAAGGGATTCTTCCCTTCCCTAAGAAGCTTAGCAGGTTGCATGTGGTGCTTAACCCGTCTATATGCCCAATTTGTAGAAACAATAATGACTCTTTGGAGCATGTTTTCTATTACTGCAAAAACATAAAGCCGATTTGGTTTTATTTTATGAATTTGTTGAGTATTCCTATACCTAGTCCCTCCAGCCCTATTACTCAGATTTTCATAAACATTTGGCTTAAAGCAGGGTCGAAAGGCTTGATGGATGTTTTCAGACACAATATCTCAGGAATAATATGCTGGCACATTTGGAAAATTTATTCCAATCAAATTTGGGGGGAGGGTAATCTTATACCTTCAACTGAGCAAATCATTCTATCTATAAAAGATCACAATCAGGCTTGGTCTTATTCTTTCAGAGATAAGAAATTTCGCTCAGTTGACAATATTCTTTATGAGGAGCATCTTATTCTTTCAGAGACTTTCGCAAGCAGGATTACAAAGTTCAAGCAATCAAATGGCATAAGCCTAGGGTGGGTATGAAATTAAATGTAGATGCACGATACTTATCTGGAAGTGCAACAGGTGGAGCTATTCTTCGGAATAAAAAAGGTGAGCTGATATGGGGAATTAGCTTCGAATTGGAGGCCTCCTCTCCCCTCGATGCTGAGATAAAGGCTATCTCAACAGTTCTGGGCTGGGCGATCCACGACGGGTTCGGTAGATTCAAGATAAAGACGGGTTCTGCCCTGGCTTTTTCATTCTTGGAAGGTCAAGAGGTGCGAAGATGTAGATACATGATTCAGGAAAGTCTACAGCTTGCGATTAAGGAAGGAGTTTCATTCGGGCTAGTTACGAGAGATGCTAATTGGGCTGCGCATTATCTTGCTAAATACCATTCAGGCCCGATCCATTTTTTCAATAGGCCAAGAGATCTACCACATCTAGCTAAAAAAGCCTACTTCATGGATCTTTTTTGTGTTCCTTCTTTTCGGCTTTATTAGTCTTTTTCTGTATGTGGTTCGGGTAAGGTATGGTCCCCTCGAATCCTTTTGGTTTTCCCTGTTTTCATTTTGTTTTGTGTATTTATTTTGGGTCAGGTCTAGCCCCCCCAAAATTTACTTTTCTTTCACTTACTCGATCATGTATTTTTCAGAGGTATGCCTCTGAAGAGAGGTTTTGGTTTGGCCCCCCTCTCCTTTGTACTCAAGCTCATATTAATAAAATAACGGCAAATGTTCCCCGGCATTTGTCCCACTGATTTTGGTTGTTTGCCTTCCGGGAGTAAAAAAAATTGAAAAGATTACATGTATATTACTAACAAAATTTCTCCACACAAAAGTATGACTACTTATGTTTTATTAACAAAAATATAACTATTCACTATGTACGAGTAACTAGGCAATGGTCACAATAGTGTATTTCGGGGTAACAAGTCACTATATAGTAACCTGAAGAATAGTTCCCTCTATTATAAAATTTTTCAATACCGGCAAATGTCCCCCAGCATTTGCCCCACCAAATGGGTGGTTTGCCTTTTGGGGTAAAAAAAAAAATAAAAATAAATAAAAAATAAAAAATAAAATAAAAATTTTCAATACAGCAGTACTTCGCCTATTTGAATGTCCTATTCAGAAACTTTAGAAAGGAAGAATATTATTTAATTTAAAACAAATATGACATGCAAGTTAGAGTTGATTATAAATTATGTAATTTAGTGAAATTATATAATTTAGTGAACTGTGAACAGCTTAGACTCTTGAAGTCTCACCCCGATCCAAAATTTATGAATTTGAAATAAATCCGAATAAATTTATAATACAGAATTAGAACAATCTACCCCTTCCATTTCAGTCTCATTTGGTTCCTTTCAATCAGATTTATCATTTGTTCCAAATAATTATCTAACCAATAACCTCCTAGCATTGAACTCCAAGATCAATATCACCGCCTTCTTGCAAGTCCATTCTAAATTCATTTGAATCCTTGACGCCATAAGATCTACAAACTGGTAATTAATTTCACCCAGCCCATTGGCAATCCCCTGGGTAGCAATCCTTTCTAAGCTTTGGTGCATGTTCGCAACATTCAATTTTTTCTACTCCAACTCTGACTTTCATTTCCACTTGAGACACTCGTTGAATCTGCAACTAATCATAATACGGAGTAACTAATAAGAACTCAGATATGAAAATGGGCTTGATATGGTAATAATAATATCAACAATTATGCAACAATAACAGTAATAATAACAATTAGTTGCCTATAAATATAGTTTTACCAAATTAATAATATAAATTAATTTATTGGCATGAATAAATTATATTAAAAGGTAATATTCATTTAAACAGAACTCTATGGTGATAATGTGAGATATGTTTTTCGTACATGTTTAAATGTTTAAATGGTATCAATACTTCTGATATCAGTACTTCTTTGTCCACTATTTGAGTGACAGATAAAAATATATATTTGTTTTATTAAATGTTATATTATAGTACTACTCATCAATCCTATTGCTGAGCGTGTAGTCTTTTCTACACGTAGGTGAAAAGAGATTATTCAAGTGGAGCTTGGGACAAGGGGACATCTGGACATGACTGCATTGCATGTGTTATATTTTATTGTCATTTTCCTAAAAGTTAGTATTTAGTACGACCGACATTATTTTAAAAGTTAATGTGATTTAATTAATTCGAGTTTTAAGTAAGATCAATGTAATTAAACAATTATTTTATGACAACTTTATTAAATAAAATGATTGTATTCTGATTGAAGTTAGCTTTTGATTAATGGAGCTTATTAAAATAAAGTTAACATTGGACTTTTCTTTATATTTTAACTAATCCATAATTTTAACGGAAAAGTTTATTAAAAGATAAACGATAGTGGCATCCGTCCCGAATAGGCCAGACCGAACGGGGTGGGTGTTACAATAGTAGTCATATTTTGGAATTCCAAACCTCATTTACTCCTATTTAGGGCAATTTCCATTTAATTATTCAAATGTTATTCACCGTTTTCATATTGAATAAGACTTTATGCCTACCATTGTACTACTATATTGTACTAATTCAGTGTTTTGATATTTATAATTGTTTTAAATTTGTCATACTTGTTAATTCTTACGTTTTGGATTTGAATTTCAAATAATATAGTCGTTCGGTTGGACATTTATTGTATAAATTTGATTTTGCAACTCTTTTTTAATAGATTCATGTAAATCTAATAAATAGATTCATTCGTAAATAAAATATTGGACCGAGGCCAGACTAGGCCCGGATCGGAAATGGCCGGTTGAACCACCAAAATTCACAGTCACATATACCAATCCTAGTTCTCTCTACCCCATCCAGGACTGGCCGATCCGGCCCAGAACCGTAAGATTATGCCAACTACTCTTCACATGACCGTCTTTTAGGAGTTGCAATAGGTGCTTGACACCAAGGCCTTGTAGAGGGCCTCCAAAAATTTAGAATTAAGTATAAGTTGTAGGTTGATTTTTCTAGATGTTATGTATATCAAGACTCCAAAAGGTATATTTCTCGGATTCTCTAATTTGTGTGCTTTAAAATCATAAAACTTATGTTTCATTAAACTATCTAGTCTATTTGTATTTTATGGTTAAAATTTGTAATTTTCTTGTTTTAGAGGATCAAAATTTGTCATTAGAAATCGGGACATCCAAATTCATTAGAGGACCCCACTCTTCATACACTATCGTATTAGTTTTGAAAAAAACAAATATGTTAGTTCAGTTTTTTTCGAAATGGAAATGGTACAATGCATTTTATATTAGTTTCTCATTTTTCTAGGATGACCAAAATCCGGCATCACACCAAAGCCTTGAAGGCTGTATGTGATTATTTTATGATTTGCACTGAAAAATAAATTGTTTGAATAGTGCGTGCATCTTTAATTGCTTCTATACAATATAGGATTCCATTTCTAAAATTCATTTATGCAAATTAACCTTTCGTTTCTCCACTTCTGGGGTGTTCACTTTCATCTTAGGTTATTGGTTATTCCCAAATGAAGTGTGACTATATTAGCAAAGTTGGAAGGCCGTGTGAAGTCAGTGGATTTGAGGCGAGGTAAAATTTTAAATGAGATAATATAGTTGAACTATTCAATCTATCTAGAAACATATTCTATATTATAATTGACTGTAATCAGACTATTTCGGTAAATTTAATTTTGAAAATTTCTTCCAATAGAATCAACTGTAAATGGATTATTACTTAATATTATTCTATAAGGAAAAAAGGTAATTTGTTGATTTAATTTAATACTGATCCCAAGTGAAGCATTAATTTAACATCAACCACCGTAGAGTACGTAGTGTTTAATATAGGGTGTTACATGTGAAATATTTCTAATAAATATATAAAAAGAAAAAAAGAAATTCACTTTTATTCAAGTAATTAATCAAAACATTATGATAAACAACCAAGCACACCATACAAAGATGTTAATTAGGTTGTTCATAATTTAATCATTCTAGCAAAAGCAATGACAAAAGTGATTAGGTGGCTTTTTCCAAGTAAAGATCTTGCATTTGCCTCCTTTTCCACACTCACTCTGAAAGCAAAGATCATTACATTTGTCATCATCACTAGTGCCCGGATTGCATGAACCGATATGATTATCATTACAGCAACTGACCTTGCAATCAACTTGCACCAAATCTGAATAAAAAAGTTGTACAAACAAAATTTCAGGTTTGCAATAATATAATATATTCAAATGATCATATAGTGATTCAAATACAATTAACTTTCCAGTGAGTTAATTAAAGATGTGACAGCCAATTATTTAATACTACGTGTGGCAAATGTAATGTTGCCTCGATCACTATGATACCAATCCAATATCAAATGCATAGAGTTGTAGTATATCATAGACTGCTTGGATTATTCAATAACATGCACATCTATGATTATACATCCAGAACAAACACATAATTAAAAAAATGTAATGGTGTTAAATTTATTTAAATCTTATAATCATAGTGCTCTCAAATATAGGGAAAAAACCTTTTGATAGGATGAAGAGTGCAACCACCATCAACAACACATTCAATTTGGCCATTTCTTTCTTCTTAAAAGATGCAACTGTTTGGCTAAGATTGATTTTTCTTAATAACTTTGGGCACAGTGGAATTGTATATATAGCTGAATTAGATGTGCATGCTATTAAGGATTGGTGGTATTTTTAATGTGTTTTCGGATTTCTTAACATATTTGGAGCAAATGAATTAAAGTACAATATTTTCTTTCCCTAATACTCTTGCAGCAAATAGCGTACATTATTTGATCTCCATACTTGCCGAATATATTGATTAGTGTTGTGAATATGGTTTTCGTATCAAGAGTGATCACCATATATACAATTATATACTTGCTGAAAATAAATTAAAATATTTATGGATGGGGAACAAATGTTTTGTTTTCATTGTGTCGGATCCATATGACCATATGCTACATGCCTAATAGCATGCGCCTCTAATTTAGCAAACCGTTGTTTAAATGGATTTTTCTTTGAAAGCCAATTTAAAAAAATGAGGATATAAATTTATTTTTCTTAATTTTCCCCCAAAAATAAAACCATGCATTTCGTATATACTTTATAAGTATATGGTAGGATTGGTGTTAGGTGAGAATATACTAGATTTTGTGGCACATGGTAACATATTTTAATTTGCAAACCTTTATATATAATGAGCTGAGTGTGATGGAGAATTAATAAAGTGTATAATAACTTTGTAATTAATAAAAATCAGAGATATGTTTGTCTAATTAATTATTAATAGTTATAATTTATAAATAAAACATCAACAAATAGGATTAAAACAATAAGTACAAATAAAATAATTAAAAAGCATAGAAACATACAAATAGAGAATTAATTATCTAGCAATGACAATAGGCTAGATTTTTTATTAATCAAATTTTCAAAACAAAATTTGAAAAATGAAATGTTATTGTTTATAATTATAGAAGGGAAAAGGGGCAAAAATGACTCTAATGTTTTTTTCCCGGGAGAAATATGACGACCCTAAACTTGTTTTAAGGTGAAATAGGTATAGGAATTAAGTTTTTTGAGAATCCAGGCACCTCTTCTACTAAGTACGTACTTAACAGTTAGGTACTAACCGCCTATGTATGACATGGAGTCCAAATTACAAATGGATTATTTACTTTAAATTTAAATTAAACAAAGCCTACCAAAAATAACATGGAAAAAATGATTGAAATATATAATAAGTTTTGAATACAGTTT